CTGCGTGCTGAAAGGTGGCTTAAAAGAGTTATGTCATTGGCCGTCACCTTGACACGTGGTAACTAGTCAACTGAACACGTTTTCATACCTGACCTCCTTGCCTAGAGGTTTCAGCGGTTACTGCATGTTCTCTCTCTCTGTGCGTGAAGAATCATTCAGTTGAGGCGTCAGGAGGAGGAGAGGGCTGATGGAAAGTTTCGTGACCTAGTGGGGATTCGCGACGTCTCGTCGGGTAGACAAGACGACTCAGTCACATGTGGGGTTCGCTGACGTCAGACGGGGTATATAAGTCGCCTGCTCCCATTAGCTGAGGCCAGAGACCAAAACGCCACTCTTGTCAGTCAAACCACTGTCATGGGAGACGCAGTTGAAGTCCTGGCCGACCAATTTGAATCCTTTGGAAACGAGGTAAATAAATTGGCCCAATTTAGTGCCTTTAGCTGTATATCTCCCACTAGTACCTGCATTGTTGATATTGACTGGCGTCTTTGACCTCTGAAATGCATGCACTTTTCCTTAAGATGTCAAAACCAAGTTTGCTCAGTCAGCCAGAAGCACAACAGGTGAATGATGTTGAGAGGTAGTTCACTTACTATTAGTTTAGAGTCAATAAGATAGCATTACTAGATTATTAATAAACATATATGTTTACAGTATAAATGTGTTAAATTTTGTTTTTTTCCCATATATATTATCCGATATGAACTTTTTAAAGTGGGGATTAGGTGAGATAGTAAGAGCTAAGTTGATCGCCACCTTCGATACCCCCAGTCCCTTGTCCTGTGGGTACTTTAAGTTTTATTAGTTTTTGTTTAGTTTTTAGTTTATCATTTAATTTAAAACTTTAATTTTAGTCCAGTTTTTATTTTAATTAGAAGCCGCCAACGTTAGACATATATACGTAACTAACTACTACATACTAAGCTAAACTAAACCAACTAAAATAAAATTAATGTTCATGTTTTGCTCACCAGAATAATGTGTTAGTCTGCTGACGATTCAGATGACTGGGCCGGTTGTCTTTTTTTGAGGCGTATACTGACTGCATCGATCAGCAAATTTAAAGTTTCGGCTGTATGTGTTGGCCTTGGGCTGATCGATTTTCTCTGCTCGCTGCTCGGCCCTCCCTGTAGATTTTGGCACAGCTTGACGGCAGTTGGTGTTCTTTGAAGAAGATGTTCTATGGGATAAAAATTAATTTAAATGAGTAAATTTTTGAATTTGGCGCCCCAACTCGTCTTCGGACTAACAGGAAAGTGCAATGAACAACTAAAATTTCAAAACTGCCGAAAAAATCAATACTTATATAGGGTGAGACGTGATTGCTGGGTGTGGCCTCACTTAGTGCCTGTCGTGCGGCCTCTGTTTTTTTCCAGCGTTCTTTGAAGTGCTTATAAATACCATCCAACTCGACGTGCCGGTTGATGCATGAATCGTCGGAGTGCATGGCTTCGAGGAATTCTCGGCCATTTTTGGATGCGTGCGTTCCAGTTTATAAGAAAGTTGGTGTTCTGTTTTGTCCCCCACGGTGGAGGATGCTGGTAATCCTGCTCCCTTTTCCGGTGCTTTCGTCACAGGGCCATCTTCATCGGCAAATCTTAACTTCGGGTTGACCGTGTCCTGTCCTTTACTTACATACTGGCGTTAGTACAACGAAGCGTTAGGCAGAAGAAACATTACCTTGAGAAGGAACCTATCACCTTACGATCCACTCTAAATCCACATATTTTTATCTCCTAAAATTAAATTTGACTAATAAACTAAAGACTAAGCTAACCTAATATCATAATTCCCGTAAGATAGAATGCTGGGGCTAGGGGTATCTGAGGTGAGGGACCAATGAAACTTTTATCGGTGAGATTTCAGGGAATTATTTTATTTAATTATTTTCTGTCGAAGGTATATTTCTACGGCAGCGCGCGTATGCTCATATTTGGCTTTATTGGCTTAAACTATCCTGTACTTAGTAAATTTCGAGGGTAAGACATAATATTAGGAACGTTCAGCGCTCAGGTAGTACAGGTGGCTTTGCATTATATTTCAGGCAGAATACACACTCCCTTGTTCCAACCATAAACATATCATTCGCCCTAAACCTAACTTTAAATCTACCTCAACATTAACTCCAATTCTAGCTAAACACTAAGCTTAAGCCCTAACCATGCTTTTACTCCTTATCATAGCATGAACAGTAATCTGAACCTTCGTGGAATTTAAGGCGAGGGCAGCTGTATTACGAGAGTTCATATTCCCGTGTCTTGCAAGGTCGAAGATAAATGGCATAATTATTTATAGTAAAATAAATCAATTTAAATTTTTTATAGTAGACTTCGCCTTGGTATCCAAAGCTGGATCAAACACAACAAATTATTTCATCAAAAATATATACGATGGAAATTAAAAACGAGGGAATTATCGGAAAAGTAAGCTATAAAATACCCACTCCCCAGATCGCCCGTGGTAAAATGTGAAATCTCTTTTCCTATGTAAGCTAAATCAGCTCCTTTAAACAGCAAACACGTCTGGACCGAATGAAGAAAGATTTTTGGATATCTGTAGGCGTGACCGATATCCCAAGATGAAATGGCAACAGTATTTTAAGTAGTGCACTTCATAGGATACACAATGGAATTCACCTTAACAACTGCCATATGCATCGTTATTTTATTGTATTTAGAAATGTTGATGATTTATATCTGTAGATTTTTCTAATCTGCATTATCGTTTAAAACATTGTGGAAAAAGCCGATTATCAAAATGAAGGTTTCCTGAAATTCCTTCAATTTACTTGCGTAACAATTTACTCCTAGTGGCTGCGGGAAATAAAATCCACCTGCATGTTTCCCCTTTACACTCACTTCTACAAATTTTCTTCACTGCCTATCCTGTTTCCCCACCCCCAAAACCCCTATAACCACCGTTGCCATAAGACAAAATGCTGGGACTAGAGGCATCTGAGTTGCACTACTTATACTACCTTTGCCGATGAAACTCCCTTATATGAATGAATGAAAGTGTTTCGCCGATCTAGTCAAGGAACAATTAAG